CAACCCAGGCATGTGCCCTGACTGGGAATCGAACCTGCGACACTTTGGTTCGCATCCCGCATTCAGTCCACTGAGCTATGCCAGGCAGGGCTATAATCATCTAACTTTTAAGCACAGTGATGGGTAATCATAATTTTCTCAGCAATATTATATTAGTAAATATTTCAAAAAAATTCACTGAAGTGGGTTTTTTTTTGTTGTCATGGTTGTTTATTTTGGTCCTAACAAAATCTCTGCCCTAGCCTCTCAGAGGAGAGCGTGGATAGTTCCAGCTTCACTTCCAAACTCCCCAACACAATGCTTGAACTCTTCAGCAGTGAGACAGGACGTGTAATTCCATGTTTCATGATTGATGCGTTAACTGCCAGTGTGCACGCCAACACAGCAATACATCACATCACAGCTGTGGACATGCAGAGCCAGCCCAGGGAGCAAAAGCATGATAAAACTCATCACACTGCACTGCTTCTCCCCCAAATTGTAAAATTTTGATTGCTAGATTACAGCTACTGGAAGCATCAGGGTCAATGGAGCATCATCTTAAAGGTGGTTTTTGTTTTGCTGGACTTTCTCATTGAGAATCTGAAATCATGGATTTTTTTTATGGGGAAAATCATGGGAATTTTTGGGAAGGGGAATGACATTCTGTTGTTCCTAGGAAGTTCAAACTCCCTGCAGATTTCCATAGCTGAGGTCCTGGAATCGGTCTAGGATGAGGAAAATAACATGTTACCAAGATCACATGCTTGTGTTCTTGGAGGCTCCGTTGCCAAGCACGCCACATGGCCGAATTCCCATGACTGAAACACAGATGCGCAAAATGCAACTCGCTGGGTGGAACAGTAGTGGACACCGATTATCTTCCCAGCTTACTCAGCCTCCTGTTATCATCTGAAACCCACATGTAATGCCCACGGGCAGGGTGACGTCCACAAATTGTTTCATAGCCGCCCCAACCTTCCGCCATTCTTTTCACCTCATTTCTGAAACTGCAAGTCTACTCCGACTTCAACCACAGACATTTGTTAGTATTCCTTTTTTTTTCGTTTTTTGGAAATGAAGTACCTCAAGTACATGTCTAAGATAGTGACTGGTATGGTACATAGAAGGCCCTCAAAAATTATACTTTCCCTGGCTGGCGTAGCTCAGTGGATTGAGCGCGGGCTGCTAACCAAAGTGTCGCAGGTTCGATTCCCAGTCAGGGCACATGCCTGGGTTGCGGGCCACGGCCCCCAGCAACTGCACATTGATGTTTCTCTCTCTTTCTCTCTTGTTCCCTCCCTTCCCTCTCTAAAAATAAATAAATAAAATCTTTAAAAAAAATTATACTTTCATTTTTTGTTTACTTGTATTTTACAAGTGCATAGTATTCATAGTATTTTAATGGGAGATCTGCAGTAAGCAAGATTTGCTTTGGGAAGCATACCTCTGTTATAAAACAATCATCCAAACTGATTCTAAGAGTCATACCAACCAGCCCTGGCTGGTGTGGCTCAGTGGATTGACTGCTGGCCTGCAAACCAAAGGGTCGCCGGTTTCCCGCCAGGACACATGCCTGGGTTGCAGGCCAGGTCCCCAGCAGGGGGCGCACAAGAAGCAACCACACATTGATGTTTCTCTCCCTCTCTTTCTCCCTCCCTTCCCCTCTGTCCTACAATTAAATAAATAAAGTACATATGTTTTAAAAAAAGAGTCATACCAACCAAAAGGTATCTGCTTACTCTGAAGCTTGTTAGTTGAAGGTAAACTGTAGAGTCATCTTTAAATTTCATGTTTCTCCTTTCTACTGCAATATAAAGCACCTTCTGGAATCCTTCTAAACCTTTGTACCAAGGGGGAGCGTCTGATTCTCCAGGTATGAATGGTTTTATGCAACAGATGCATTTCTAGCTCATAAATATTCCACGTTTCCTCTGAACACCAGTGTCATAAAAATTATAGAAAATATTTGATTTCCTTTTTAAAACATGACATTTCTGACAAATCCCCTTCCACCTTAGATACTAATACAACCCTTTCATTTCTCCAATTTCACTTTCATATAAGTCCTGAACTAAATGTAAATATAATCCTAAATGGTGCTTTTGAAAAGACACCTCTCACTTACTTTAAAGTCAACCACTAACAGTAATATTTTATCCCACTGCCAAAATGTCCTTAAGGAACAATGAATTTTTATTTTATTGGCTGACATTTTCTTCCATTTTGTATGATGTTTCCTTAAAAAGAAGACCCCTACTGTATGTGAATTTTTAAATACACTAGTTCTTTTCCCATGCTCGCTGATCTTGTGAGCATTCTGCAACATCAGTGGATATAAGAAGCCTGTCCTGGCATTAATGAGAAATTAAAGACTGCACAGATAAGATGAAGAACTTTGTAAATGTAGCACCAACTATAAGGCATCGTATTATTTTTAGTATCATATTAATCTGCCTAAGTTCTCCAATTCATGTTCGGAAAAGAGTCATTAATATGAAACAAGTTTGAACCAAAGACATAAAAATATAAAATTTACCTATAGTTTTAAGATGTGAAAAATTGAATAAGTCATCCGAGAACTCACTGATTCTAAGATGGTCCTTTTAGCTAATAAAAACTTGATGATAACAAAAAATATATTCTCATTAACATTTACTTTACATATTTGCCTATCTCGTGAAGTTATTTGCCTGTGTTTAGGAAAAGATCTCTTAGCTCGATAAAATAAAATGCCATTGTGGAAAAAGTTATTAATTTTATTGCCTTTTAAATTATTACAGCATACCAAAAAAATAAAAATAAAAAGAGGACATTTGGAGCCTTGGCTGGTGTAGCTCAGTGAATTAAGCATGGGCCTGAGAACCAAAGGGTCGCCTGTCCGATTCCCAGTCAGGGCACATGCCTGGGTGGCAGGCCAGGTCCCCAGTAGGGGGTGCTAGAGAGGCAACTAGACATTGATGTTTCTCTCTCTCTTTCTCCCTCCCTTCCTCTCTCTCTACATATAAATAAATAAAATCTTTAAAATAACTTTAAAAATAAATAAAAAATTTTTAAAGGATATTTGGAAAAGACTTCAATTTTTTTTCCTTCTTCCATACCTTGCTTACTACATATACTCAAGTAAAATTAATAATGCACCTTGTAGAATGTCTCCATGCCTCCCAGAACAAGTGAAACCACAATCTGCTCTTTTAATCTGTGTCAAGAGCCAATCTATGAAAAATGGTGACATGCAAATGTAATTCAGAAGCATCACCTTCTGTATCCACTTTTTTTAGCATTTTTTAAATTTTTATTTATTTTTAGAGAGGGAAGGGAGGGAGAAAGAGAGAGAGAGAGAAATATCAATGTGCAGTTGCTGGGGGCCATGGCCTGCAACCCAGGCATGTACCCTGGCTGGGAATCGAACCTGTGACACTTTGGTTCGCAGCTCGCGCTCAATCCACTGCACTACACCAGCCAGGTTTATCAATTTTTAGGTGAGTCACGCATTTAGTCTGGGGAAAAGTGCTAGGAGGGTACACAATACACATAAAGTGTTATTCATGGTGGATATTTTCCTGTCGAGAAATGTTTCCAATCAACAGAACGACAGCAACAAAAATCAGACAACAGGAGCACTGTTTTGTAAGGTTAAATATAAATGGAAACGCGCCCTGAGGAGCCGTCAGGTATGCCTGGTATTTGTCACCCTCCGAAGATCCATCCCAGCAGGAAAATCAGTAGGAAGATGTGGCGCTCTACATTTCTACAGAAACTCTTCAAAGAGACCAAGGGCTCTATTTCACCATCTTTAACAGCAAAACTATGGACCTAGAGTTACGGACAAGCAGCCCCATCTTAATTAGTATCTTACCTTCGCTGTGTGCTTCAGAGAGAAAAATTAATGTTAGTGTGTAATTAAACGATGCACATCCTTGAATGGTTTCAAAAGCTCTCCGTCGCTGACAGTGATAGGTCAGCAGTAAGCCAGACAACGATAACACACGTCTTTGAGGAAAACAAGTAGGTAAATTCCACCCCTTGCGTTTATTAAGGAAATAACCATATTTAAATCATTTAATGTACTCATGAATTTCTAGACACGTTTTTATTCATTTCTCTTGTTCCCTGGGATACATATAAAGAATACCATATAAACTCTTTTCATACATCTATTTTGGGTTCTCAATTATTTTACACAGATTTCTTGGGCGTTCCTGCGCCCCTATTTTCCCCGAGGCCCCTTAGAGAAAGCAAGCACATTTCATTTGCCACAAGCCAACATGTGTCAAGAATGTATCCTGAAGACCTCTCCACACCTTTCCTAAGTATGCAGATACTTAAATAAATATCTAAAATAGAGATTTTAAATGTGTTAACTTCTCTGGGTTGATGATGCCAGGGAGCAGGGAGCCTTCATTTTTCCAATCCCGTTGTTGTTACCTTGTGTGAATGTAGCTTTTAGGAAGCAGACTAAGGGTGAGTACCTAATCTGCAAATGATATGCTGCATGCATTGTGTGGGCCTGGATGCTTCCAGTGTGTTCTATAGCAAGATATGTCATACCGCCATCTTCGGAGAATCTCGGCTCGATCATAATCATGGTTCTGACTACACTCTCCTACAACCGAGAGTTACTTGTTCTCACATTCTCCCCAACTAACAATGAATCGCTGTATCTATTCAGATACTTCTGCAGAGTCTGATCATTTGCTCCCTTCTTGAGTTAATAGATTGTATGAGGTTCTAGTTTCACTTCAAATAATGTAAACAAATAAGGCTTAGCCCTGGCTGGTGTGGCTCGGTGGACTGAGAACCAAAGGGTCGCCAGTTCGATTCCCAGTGAGGGGACGTGCTTGGCTTGCGGGCCAGGTGCCCAGTAGGGGGCGCTCGAGAGGCAACCACCCATGGATGTTTCTCTCCCTCTCTTTCTCCTTCCCTTCCCCCTCTCTGAAAAGAAGTAACTAAATACCTAAATTTTTAAAAAAGAAAAGAAGTAAAGTGGAGAAGCCCAGTTAGAAAGCGGGAGTACTTACCGGTCTGGCGTGCACGGACACCACGTCCTTGAAGGTGGTCAGTGGAAAGCTGCACTCGGACACGCTGTAGGGGTCCGAGCTGCTGGAGGAGCACTTGGAGATGGAATCGTAAGCCACGAAGGTGTTGTCCAGAGGCAGCTCCTGGATGAAGTGGTGCTTGGAGCTCAGGGGCGTTTCGGGCTGGATCTGGAAGGCCGGCTGCGGCGACGTGGATTGGTAATGGCGGGCCAGGTCAGGGCTGTCGGGCTTGAACGTCGTGGGCACGGTGCCCCAGTCGTACTTGCGCATGGTTTCCTCCTCCAGCTCAGTGGGAAGGTCTATGGTGGTGCTGTGTCCGTCGTCGTCGGCGTCATCCGACTTGCTGTCCTCAATGTTGACGAAGTGAAGCAGCAAGTTCTTCGGGGGCTGCTGCTGCTGCTGCTTCTTCTTCTTCTGCTTCTTCTTCTTCAGCATGCTCATCTGCCTGTTTTCTGGGTTTGGCGTGACCCACTCAGAGCTCTGCTTGCTTTTCTTGGCAGCCTTAAGGTGTGCTGGCTGGTAGCATCGCACTATGACGATGATCACGATGACCAGGGCGACGGCTGTGCTGGCGACCGCGGTGGCGATCACGATCTTGAGATAGTCATCGGATGGGGAGGAGGCATCGGTTATCTCGATGTCTGGGATGGCCGGAGTCGCGGCCTTCTTGCGCACCAGGTCGTGAATCAGTGTGGCGTTGCTCACCGACTCATTCACAAACAGGTTGACCACGACGACGTTGGAGAGAGCGTCGGGTTGCCCTAGGTCATTGGCTTTGACTACCAGTCTGTGCAAGCCGCGGTCTGTGCGCACGGCTTTGTTCTTCATCGTGATGTCGCCTGTCGTTTCGTTAATCACGAACAGGCCTCGCGCGTTCCCTTCAACGATGGTGTAAAGAAGCTGTGCGTTAATGCCGGTGTCGTTGTCCACAGCACGGACCGTGAAGACCACTGTGCCCGGATCCGTGGACGGGAGGACCAGTTGGAAGGAGTAGTTGGAAGAAGGGGCCACAAACACGGGCACGTTGTCGTTGACGTCGACCACGTTGATGGTCACTTTGGCAGTGGCGGACTGCGGTACCCTCCCGCCATCCTGAGCCTTTACATAGAAAGTGTAAGATTCTTGTTTTTCTCTGTCAAAGGAAACGTTGGGTCGGATGACACCGGTCTGTGGGTCGATGGTGAACTCGTCATTCACGCCTACAATGGACAGAGTGACCACAGAATTTTCGCCGTCATCGAGATCAGACACATTGATTAGCCCGACTGTGCCGTGTCTAGAAAGGTTTTCTGGGACATAGAAATTGTACTCTTCGTGAGAGAAAACGGGCACGTTGTCGTTTTGATCGAGAACTCTCACGATCACCGTGGCGTTGGTTACTAAGGGCGGAACACCGTTATCTTTCGCCAGAACCGTGAGGTGGTATTTCCCCTGCTTCTCTCTGTCCAGTGCCGTCACCGCAGTCAGCATGCCCGTGCGATAGTCCAGCTCGAATTCGGGGGGTGCGTCGGCGCCTAGCACGTAACTGATTTCACCGTTACGCCCGGCGTCCGCATCTGTCGCAGTGACTTTTGTCACCTGGGAGCCCGGAGAGTTATTCTCGGGAATAGACGTAGTTATGACACGCTGGGTGAACACGGGAGCGTTGTCGTTTTCGTCTTTGACTTTGATCAGGAGCATGGATGACTGGTTCAGAGGAGGCTGCCCGGCATCCGTGGCCATTAGTTGGATGGCATACTCTTTCGTGGCCTCGAAGTCCAGCAACGCATTTGTCTCCAGGAGGAACTGGTTGGTGAACACTGGCCGCAATCGGAAAGGGACATTCTGATCCATGAAGCAGATCACCCTGCCGTTGTTGCCAGCATCCTTATCCGTCACAGTTATCAGAGCAATCTTGGTGTAGACTGGAGCGTTCTCGGAAAGAACCACAGTGCCATTGACCGGGTTGACGATGTAGCGGATATCAATCGACGGGGCATTATCGTTGACATCTAGCACGTTCACTCGCACCAGGGCTCTTGCGGGCGACAGCCCACCATCGCTTGCCCAAACCAGCAACTTGTGGCTTGGCGACTCCTCCCTATCCAGGGGCTGTTTGATTGTGATCAGCCCCGTCTTGCTGTTGAGGTCAAACAGCCGCTTGGCCTGGATGGGGAGGAGGTTGCTGAAATAGAAGTGAATGATGGCATTTTCCCCTATGTCGGCGTCTGTGGCGTGGAGCTGCACCACGGAGGCGCCCACGGGAGCGTTTTCTGGTATGTTGACTTCAATCTCATCCTGCGCGAACACTGGATGGTTATCATTCACATCCAGAATCTTGACTTGCAGAATGGCGGTGCTGGATCTTTGAGGCATGCCACCGTCTTCGACCTTCAGTTTCATTATATACACATCCTTCTCTTCCCTATCCAACTGCTTCAGAACAACCAGTTGTGGAACCTTCTGTCCATCGGGTGCCACGCCGACGCCAAGCCCAAAAGCACTCCGACCCTGGAAAACACAGCATGGGGTATTGAAGTCACGTTACCATGTAATGAGACCAGTTTTCTGAAACACAGGTCAGAACACTTGGCTTCTGAGTCCCAACTCTGCCCATATGCAATATCTTGACCACAGCCAAGTCGTTTAATATCTCTAGGCATTGCTAAAAGTAAGAGTTTTGCTAGAAAACGTTCTGCCTGCTTTTCAGGTTGTACCTTTTTATGATAATGAAGGTAAGTCACTTATGTAAACTATTAAAGATTTCAAAAAGAAGTTTGTAGAAAGGAATCATGGCAGATAATAGGAGAAGGGCCATCAAGATCACGTATAAAGGACACATGGCCCTGGCTGGCATAGCTCAGTGGATTGAGCGTGGGCTGTGAACCAAAGTGTCTCAGGTTCGATTCCCAGTCAGGGCACATGCCTGGGTTGCAGGCCATGACCCCCAGCAACCGCACATGGATGTTTCTCTCTCTCTCTCCCTCTCTCTCTCTCTCTCTCTCTCTCTCTCTCTCTTTCTCCCTCCCTTCCCTCTCTACAAATAAATAAATAAAATCTTTAAAAAAATAAAAAGGACACATGGACAAAGCCAAAGGGGGGAGGCAGGGGGTGTCGTGGGGGTAAACTAGAGACAACAGTACTGGAACAACAATAAAAAAATTTTTTTCAAAAAAGAAGAATTGTCACTAAGTTTCACATGGTGCATGAAGTTATAAGGGAATTAACCATGGTTACTTTCACATGAACTAAATATTTTACTATAGATTTCAGGTGCACAGGGTGCCTTTCCTCCCCCAAAGTAACACTCGGGTGTAAAATATTTGTCCAAGACAGTAGTACATATATTACATCTAATCAATATAATAAAATCGAATAAAATCTTTGCTGAAGTGAGAAAATGCAACTGTGATAAGACTATAACCTCATGTAAAATACACAGATTTTCCTCTTTCTTTTCTTTCTCTTCTCTCTTTCTTCCTCTTTCCTCTTTCTTCCTCTATAAGAACAGTTGTTTACAATGCAATTTTCTAGAAGGTTAAACATGTCATTGCAGTTTTTTTTAAATGAGTAAGCAGAATGAATTGAAGCCACATGCCAAAATGTCCACAATACCTATATACTGTAATGACAGGAATCTCTATAGAACTGTCTGTGGCGGTAGAACCATCCAAGGAGGTTCAATCAACATAAAATTGTAAAATACTTCATGAGCATGGACTCTCTTAAGTGCTACTGCTCATCAGTTCACAGAGGGTCTTACATTTTCCATGAGCCTTTTAAATAGTCAAATATCTTCATGTTGATCATGTCCAATCTGTCAAAATTAAATAAAAAATTTAAAAAGTGCCCTTTCTGAACTGCGGTAAGATAAGGCATGTGCAGATAAACAATGATCTCGCTAGCTGACTAAAGTGAGATCCTATGAAATAACCCATGTGTATTTGTTATCTTGTTTTTATTTTGCACAGCTAAAATGAACATTTTTTAAGATTTTATTTCTATGAGCCAATAAAAACTGTCTTTCTTTGAATAAAGCATATAGCAATGGAAATGTTTGCTATGTCCTATCTACTTACAAGTGTGAAAATCAGCAAACTGAAACCTATCCTTCAGCTGTGTAGTTTTAAAGAATTTTGTAACAGCCCTGGCTGGCGTAGCTCAGTGGATGGAGCGTGGGCTGCAAACCAAAGCATCGCAGGTTCGATTCCCAGTCAGGGTACATGCCTGGGTTGCAGGCCACGGCCCCCAGCAACTGCACATTGATGTTTCTCTCTCTCTCTCTCTTTCTCCCTCCCTTCCCTCTCTAAAATAAATAAATAAATAAATAAATAAAATCTTAAAAAAAGAATTTTGTAACAAATGTATTAAATATAAAGAGTATTTACTATAATTTGACATAAATAAACTTGTGATTAATGATAACATTGCTCTTATAATGATATTTCAAACTGCTTCTAGAAAGATATAAATCTAGAATGTCTCATTTATGGACACAAAAATAATTTATAAATTATACTTCATAAAAACCCATGTTCCTTCTTGGCATGCCAATATTGAGTGGTTACCGGTCACAGCATTATTCTAGGCACTGGGGTCTGGTGGGGTACAGACACATGTTAGTGATGGAATGGAAATTAAATCCCAGCTGAGAGGAAATCAATACCAATGTAAGGACTTAATGATGACATTGATATTAACACATTTATAGTAAGAGAATAATTACATTTTTAATAAGAGCTATAAAGGGAGATTATGAAGTATTTTCAGGGGTTATGTAAGGGGAAACTAGCATATATGATATAGTATAAAGACAGTAAGAAAGTTCTTTTAAGTTCTGGATTTTTAAACTCAGTTGTGTAACTTATGACTACACCACATCTGGGAAAAGTAACTTTTAGCTTGTTTTCTTTTTTAGTTTTATGTATTTATGTTTCTGTATTTTGTGTTGGTGTATTTAGATTTCAGATTTGTTTTTAATTCTTATTTATTCTATCACAGTTGTCTGAACTTTTCAGTCTTGAATATTTGCCTGAATTTTTAATTTGCTTTTGGTTTCCCCAGCAAATGAAGGCAAGTTTATGTCAGTTGAAAAATCCAAGAACAGCCTATTTACTGCCTTTTAATGATTTTATGGGAAATGGCAGTAATGTTAAAAAATAGATTTTTTACATTTTCACAGTGGCATTGAGATATACTAGTCAGATCATGGATAATGTCTCTGTAACTCTTGTGTTTTCTATGAGTCCTCTGCGCGGTGCCATAGCAATTAGCTACGAGTATTTATATTGAAATTTTAACGGACTAAAATTAGCTACAATCTAAAAACAGTTCCTCGATCTCACTAGCCACATTTACATTTCTCACAGCTACATGTTGGTACTGGCTCCATGATTACGCAACGTTCTACCGAACCGTCTATTTCTAAGATGTCATATTTTTGTTTAACAAAAAGCTACATTCATCATTTGCAGTGGTGACAACCTCCCCAGGCTAATATGCTCTTGCCATCTCTCCCAGAAGAGGAGAAGAGGCAAGACAAGAGGCGCCCGGTGCAGAGACCCAGGTCCCGCTTCCGTCAGGACCAGTGCGTAGGATGCTCTAAAATCCCCCCATCTTTGGGCCTGCGTGATGGGCAGTTGTGTGTCTTCCGTCAGCCCCCAGGAGGGGAATAAACAATTGAATTGTTTAAACAATTCTGTTCCGTCAGGTGTTTGCTGGTTGACGTACCGAAAACGTCACATTGTCCAACCAATTGGTGGACGAGTTGCCCACATGTAAGACATGTAAGAGAGAAATAATTTTCCATACAGTTTGCTTAGATACCGAACTTTGATGCCAACGTGTAGTTAGTGCCCACAGGAGCTGACTCCCTTTATTCTTGAATGAGTCAGCCCACCTAACACTCACGTCCACACACGCAATGAAACAAACCGAAGTCCTTTCCTACGATGCGAGAACACAGGGGAAGCTGGAAAGGGGAAATTAAGGTGTTCTGACATGTCTCCTTAATTCATCACCTCGCTCGCTTAGCATAGACGTGTCCTAGGTACTGGTCATTGACTGGTAGTACCCTCCATTCCAAACCTACTTCACACGCCTGCCCCTTGTTTAGAAAGACAAGCTCAACCTAAGATCCTCTCCCGGTAAGAGGGCTAGGTACCGCTCCTGTGTGTGTGTGACTCGGTAATTGACTTCATGAAATCTTCATATGCTGACATATGTGACTACACTGTAACACAGCATCAAGCTTTGCTTACATGTATAGTCTCTGCATAGACAGCAAACGCATTCAACGAGCATTTCTTAGATGAAAAGTGTAGGAATTTAAAAGGATAGTTCCTATTCCAAAACACAAAAGGAGAAAGGGTCGAGTTCCGTTGTTCTTGCTTTTAATTCTCAGTCTGTGCAGGAACAGAAACAGGCTACAATTGTTGACTTCGGTGTTTTGTTTTATTTTATTTGTTATTGTTTTATCCTCACCCAAATTGCCAACTGCAGTTCAGATTAAAAGAAATTTATGCGCTTTTTAATAACCTCATGTAATGCAAAGGGCTTAATTTCATTGGTGAATGATATATCTTCCACGATTCTAAAATAAGCTTTGAGTTTGCAAACCCAGGACAAAAACTGCTGAAATAAGCAAGATGTTAAGCTCGTCTGAGAGTTTAATTTTTTTTTGGTACGGATTTGTAAAACTAAAGAAGAGGAAGTTGCTGTTGCATATGAATAAAACATACGCATGGCCAAATTAAAAGCTGTATCTTCACTTATTGTTCTGGGAAGGAATGAACTGACCCATCGTGCCACGCTGTAATATTGTTGACATGCGTGTATGCAAGGCATCAGTTTGTTGCTTACTGGAAGGTAATAAATAACGGAGCACTCCCACGGCCATAAATCTGGTACCACTGCCCAGAAAACGCATGGAGTGCCAGGAAGGACTAAAAATAGTTCCAAAGAGATTGGATTTTAAAACTGATGAAATAAAAGCTGTTTCTTCTGTAGAATGAAGAAAAGACAAAAAATGATTTCTGAGCTTTACCACTGCCAGATTTATCAAGAACCACCCTGATTTTTTTTTTAAATTTTGTTCTTACAGTTAGTTATTGATACATTTTTGGGCCAGAGAAAAATGCAGGAGCACAGTTTCAAATGGATAAGACCCAGAGATATGAGTATTTTAGAAAACGGTAAGAAAAAGAATTTGGCCCTGGCTGGTGTGGCTCAGTGGACTGAGCACCGGCCTGCAGACCAAAAGGTCACTGGTTCGATTCCCAGTCAGGGCACATGCCTGGGTTGTGGGCCAGGTCCCCAGTAGGGAGCATGTGAGAGGCAACCACACATGGATGTTTCTCTCCCCTTCTCTCTCTATCCCTTCCCCTCTGTCTAAAGATAAATAAATAAAAATTTTAAGAAATATCATGGGTACTATAATAAATTACTTTCATTCCATTAAAAAGTTTCTTTGCTATAGGCTGGAGAAAATAGCCACTGTTTCTTGAATATTC